CTGCCCAGTGACGGGACAAGAGGAAGCGGGCACAAACGGAGACCCCAGCAGTTCCACTTGGACATAAGGAACCTCTTCTCCACCGCGAAGGCAGCTGAACTTTGCAGCAGGTTGCCCAGAGACATTGTGGAGCCTCTGACCTTGGAGGTATCCAAAACCTACCTGGCCACAGGCCTGGAGACCATGGTCGAGGTGACCCTGCTTGAGCAGGGGTTGGACAGCATGAGCTTCAGGGGAGCCTTCCAACCACAGCTACTCTGTGCGCCTTCCTGCAATACTGAAAACTTACTCGCTCCTTCCAGTAACCATACCAATAGTCAAATGAAATAAGGTCTTCTAGCTTCCAGGCCTCTAAACACATCTGGTAAGATTTTGAGATTGTTGTTTTTAGCATCTGTGGTAAAAAAGACAATGGAACTAGGCAGGCTTCCCCAAAAATAATGTTAAAAATAGTCCTGCACACTGGAATCTTCCAATTTACCAGCGAAGAGCAAAAACCACTGCAAGGAGTGGAAGAAATAAAAAAATATATATATACGGGCAGAACTAGGATCTTCCGAAAAAGGACAATTTCGTACTCAACACTAGCATTGACGTTGGGACCAACAGACACGAAGACGACAGGCACGAGCATGTCTGGAAATCATCAAGCACGGGAATGCCCGAGGGGTCTCCATGCAGCCCAATAAGCCAAAGTCCTGAACTTCCAAGTAACGTGTCTTGCAGCAAGGCCAGTGGTCGCTGCTCCTCTCCCTCCTCAGGTCAACGCCAACCTAGCACTGCCACCTCCACCACACTGGCAGCAATGGGACACAAACCAAGGGGTTCAGAAGGGAGAAGAGTCTAAGGCAGATACAATATGAGTTGTCCCTCTGTCCACACAGATTTTGTTCAGATTTTTCTGTTTTACTGCTGACTTATTTCTCAGGTCTTTTCTTTCTCAGCTTCCTGCCAGAATGACTCCACTTCCTTCGCATCCGAGCGTCAAGTTTCAGTCTAAATCCTGCCTCATGTTTCAAGCTCAGGTTGTTCCCTGGCCCTGTTCTCACCTGCCTGCTCCTCTTATCTGCTCATTTGCCTTGTCCTGGTCTGGATCTGCCAAGAACACCCAACTGCCCCACTCAACTTTCCTGGAGGGTATTTCACCATTACACACTAAACATCTCCCACAACCACTATCCTTTTCTTAAGACCACCTCTCCTATGCTCTCTATAAGAAACCTGTCTGTTTTAGGCACAAAATTCAGCTTTTCTTTAACCCGGTCACATTTAGTCTTTGCATTTATCTATTCACCCTTAGTCTGTCAGTTGTTCTCGAGATGTGGATTCTTCCAGGCCTGGTGGAATTTTGTACACGCTGGTATAACCTGAAACAAAATCAGACCCCAAGGCTCGTGTAGCACACACAGCTTTGGCAAAACATGAAAAACACCATGTGAGACACGGTGAGAAATTCATCACTTCTGTTGCATATATTTAAAGGGCATGCTGATTTCCTTTACCCTTTAGTGTTTTAGAGTACTTGGAAATAATTCTCCCAGGGGAAGCAGACTCTTCAGTTGCTTGAAAAGTGGCCAATATATCCTTATTAGGGCAAATGTGACTTCCTGCTGGATTTATGGTGGCCCTGGCGCAGCACTGTCAGCAAACTGGGGTTGTTCCTCGTCACTTCTGCAGTTAAGCAAGCCGGTAACATCTAATTTTTAAACAAAACCAATGTTCCTCTCTGCTTTCTCCCTCTCCATGGAAAGCAGAGCAAGACTGGCGCTAGCAGCGAGGCCCTGAAACGGGCATTTTATGACCCGTTTTCTCCTTGACATCATGAACACGCCTCAAGTTGCACGTTCCCTCCTTCGCCCACCTGCTGCACTCGAGCACCTCGGTCTCCACCTTGCAAAGGAGAAACCCTCTCATCACCCACCTGCTGCACTCGAGCACCTTGCAAAGGAGAAACCCTCTCATCAGCACTAAGCTTGGGGAAAGCAGATGATGGGGCCTTTGACAGCAAAGCGGGAGACAAAGGGAAAAAAGAGAGGAAGAAAAAAACCCCATTGATAAAAGGTAACTTGGAAATTTATTTCAATTCCTGGCTACCATTAGGAACTCTCTTCTGGAGCATCTCCCGGGCACAAGCACCAAGCCAGCACCTCCAGAAACACTCAACCCTTGCAGCATTATTGCACAGAAGTGGCAGTGTCCTGGGTGAAGTTTTTCTCATCTGTTTAACATACCTTTATCAACAAGCCTGAGGAAAAATCAAAGAAGATCTGGCACTCTATTGCTCTCTTTCCTATTCATTTCAACAATAAATCCAGCTCAGAAAAAAATGCAAATGCAACTTTGCTTTGTTCACCAAGTATTTATTATAAGCTTCCTTTTTTAATGTATTTATTTTCAGGAAGTATGCTTTGCTGGACACCCAGACACGCACTGCATTGCAATGCACACAAGGCGTTTGGATATTCCCTGAGGAATGGCCATCTGCGCTGCTCAAAGCTTTCCGATTGCTCCGTAGGCCACCATAACAAGCAGCCTCCGCAGCATTTCCCACTAAACACGTCATCTTCCCACTTTCCAGGCTGCTCCAGGCCCTGTGCAGGGGCTGAACAGGCCCAGGGGAGCTGAGGATGCCGTAACAGGACTCGGCAACTCCCTCCTCCTGGGCACACTTGGAGTTTCCCACCGCTCCCGGAGGCTGCGACGTTCCGATTGCCCAGTCCCAACGGACGGAGGGTCTTTGGATCCAGGGACCCAACAAAACTGCTGCATCCCCATCCACACAGGTCCAACCGTCCCTGGAATAACCCACACAGCGAGTCCAGCCCTCCAGCTAACCCAGACCGTCGCATTTAACTCTCACTTGGAGTTACATAATCTTGGGAGCTCACGGGAATCTTCACACTAACAAAGAAGTTTTGATTTTAGGATCTCGAAAACCCATCGTTTTCTTTGAGGAAAAGGAGCAAACTGAGCTACCAGAGTAACTCTGATTTCTCCGTGTTGCTCCGAACGCCAGCCTGTTTCCAGTTCAGCACCCACACACTGGGGCTACCCAGACTTTACCCCACCACCATCAAGCTCCCAATCTCTCAAAAGGATTTTTTTTCTCCTCTTGAGTGATTTTGTTCTTTCTGGAATATTTTCAGCGGTTTTGCCACATCATCACACTGACCATTCCAAGGCAATCGCTCCTCTACTTGCCCATGACAAGCTCCCAATCCTTTCCTGAGTCACAACCTTCTGACAAAACACCCGTCCCCTGATCTGGATTTAGGGCCTGCATTCTTCATTCCTGAAATATAAAACTGAATGCTTTTCTGTAATGAAATAAACTGTGTAAGAAGGAATCAACTTATTAGCAAGGCAAACCACACAGATAACTGCATTCCCTTCACTGCTGGTTACATCCCTAATGTCTTTCTAATGAAATGTACATTGAAGATGCTGTTTTATGACTTAGATGCATTGAAATCAGTTCAAACTCTGTTTCTGAAACAAGTTTGCACCGTGGCTCGCAGTGGAATTTTTGGAAGCTCTAGAGATGTTTTACTGCGGTGGCACGTGCGCTCCTTTGGTGTCACATTATATACGAGTACTTAAGCAGCAAATAACGTGCTTCTCCACTTCCAAGGGTAGAGGGGAACAGTGAGGATGGAACTCAGCTTAATTAACCTCTGCTAATGACCATGAGGCCAACTATCAGTTGACTCTCCTGAGAAACAGCGCAGTGGCACTTCTCTAACACACAATTTTTGAGACATTTTAAGCATTTCAGGATGAGATTACTCTCTTAGAAGTTATTCTTTCTCTCTATTGAGCATGCAATGAGCTAAGGAAAATGGTTTCAACAGAGACACCGATGCCGGAGACCTCTAGAGTTCATAAGAGGAATCCTATCTTAAAGAAAGAGTTTTCAGATTTAAATTTACAGAAAAATCAAAACCAGGCAAGGTTAATTCCAGCAGTTTAAACAAAAAGGTTTCAAATGAAGATTTAAAGGGAAAAAAAAAATCTAATGAATTAAAAAAAACAATCAACAACAATAAAAACACACTTTTTCCTCTACAAATGTTCTCCAGTTGAAAGATGAGATGGTTTGGGTCTAGTATGAATCAAATACGGGAAATCTTCATTTCTGGATATGAGTTTGATATCAGTGGAGATAAAGTTCCCCTTTAAGCATAAAAACGTACTTTGATTTTAATTGCGCTCGCAGGTCGAGCTGCAATTTCTGCGCTCCTGCTGCTGTCCCTGCTCTGCAGGAGGGCCCTGGCAGCGGGTGTTAGACTGGCTAAAAGCCCTGGTGCTTTCAAAGGAGACGTCGCGGCACTTACCTTCAGCGTGTACACTCCCATCCGCCCCGGGACCTTATAGAAAATGCCCTCTTCCCCTCGGGAGTTTGTATGTAACATAGCATTCAGGCATGCAAGAGGAGAAGTCCCACTGAAAACAAAAACACAGGATTAATTCCTCAGCGCGCCGCAAGGACACTTCAGAGCCCCTCGGCTCGCCCGGCGCTGGGAATTGCTGGACCCGGCCTGGCCGCGGAGCGCGCGGAGCTCCCGGGAGCAGCCAGGCCGCAGCAAGCCCAGGCCCCCAAAGCAGGCCCCGAAGCGCCGGG